AGGCCAGCCCTTGGTCGTTGGATGGGGTGGAGCCCACCCTCGGACATCGGGCGGGGCGGAGCTAGCTCCCAGACATCGGGCGAGGCGGAGCCTGGCCCTCGGGGGTCGGGCGAGGCGGAGTCTGGCCCCCGGGAATCGGGTGAGGCGGAGCCGGGCCCTTGGGGGTCGAGCGAGGCGGAGTTTGGCCCCCGAGAATCGGGCGAGGTAGAGCCTGGCCCCTGATGGTCAGGCGAGGTGGAATCGATCTCCCTGGTCTTAGGCGAGAGGCGTCGTTGTGCTTCTGTCCGATTGGAAGTGTCAACGATGTTTATCAATTCTCCCTCATCGGGTACCCCAATATTAGGTCCCCGACACAATATATGAGTTTGTTGGCCTTAGACCAGAGGATAAGAGAGCTAAACAGGCTAGGATGGCGGCCCAAAAGGTGACTGAAATTAATCTTGATGATGTGGAGCTATAAGATGCAGACTTGTTGGTTCATGATCATGTACCTGGTGAGGATTCTGTTTTCTGTGACAAAGAAGACCCTCCAATGGAAGTTGGAACAATATATTCTAGTATGGATGAGTTTAGGGCTGTAGTGCTACAGCATGCTATAAAGGGGCAATTTCAGCTTGCAACAAAGAAATCTCGCAAAGATTATTTCAACGGTAAATGCACTCATGAGGGTTGTTCATGGACTATTTAAGCAAGGTTGATGCGTGATGATCAACAAGTCAGGGTACTAACACTTTGCAGATGCAGCACGCTAACACTTTTTATATATATATGCATGGTTGTTCTGCCACTTTTCATATGCAGCACGCTAACACTTTTCATATGCAGCACACTAACTAACATGTTTGTTTCAATTTGACAAGTTGCAGTAAATAAAGGAAAGCATTTTTGTCCATCTACTAAAGAATTGATAACCAAGATGGCAAGCCACAAATGGGTAAGAGATAAGGCAATCCATTTTCTAAAGAAGGATCCAAACATGCTTGCAACAAAACTAAAAAAAGAGTTAGAGGAAAAGTATCAAGTCACAATTGGGTATCCAACTGTGCATCTTGGGAGGGAGAAGGCAAGACAGGAACTTTTTGGCACATGGGAAGATAGTTTTGGTTATTTGTTCAACTTCAAGGCAGAGATTGAGCTCAGAATGCCAGGAAGTGTTGTAGAGATAGAGGTTGTGAATACGGAGGAAGGTGTATTTTTCCATAGGTTCTTTTGTTGTATGAAGCCAAGCATTGATGGTTTCCTTAATGGTTGTAGGCCATTTTTGAGTATTGATTCTACAACTCTCAATGGTAGATAGAACGAGCACCTACCTTTAGCTACAACACTAGATGGGCATAACTGGATTTTTTCAGTTGCATTTGGATTTTTTGATGGTGAGACTACTGATAATTGGACTTGGTTTATGAAGCTACTGCAAAAGGCAATTGGTGATCCACCTCACCTAGCTATAAGTTCAGATGCTTGCAAGGGCCTAGAGAATGCAGTGAAGAAGGTATTCCCTTAGGCAGAGCATAGAGAATGTTTTGTCCATATGATGAAGAATTTTAGCAAGAGGTTTCAAGGGCCTACATTTGGGAGAATGTATCTTGCAACCAGGACTTTTCAACCAGAATACCATGAATACTTGATGAAGAAGATGTATGAAGTAAACAAGAATGTTGAGTCATGGTTGAAAGCCAATCACAAGTTAAAGTGGATGAGGAGCCAATTCTCAGAGGCAATAAAGTGTGATCATATCACCAACAATGTGGCAGAGGTTTGGAACAATTGGGTGAAAAGACCTTATGGACCTTCCAGTGGCGGACCTTGCAGACAAACTGAGGTCCAAATTCATGGAACTTTATGCAAGAAGGAGAATGATAGGTGAAAAATTTGAAGGACATGTAATGCTGCCACTTGTTATACGCCAGCTATATGCAATGACCCAAGCTCGGTCACTTGAACACAGAAGCAAGTGGAAGGGATGAAGCACAGGTCTCAGAGGTCACTGCTGCACACAAGATCATAAGACATGTGGTGAATATTAAGGACCATGTATGCACCTGCAGGGAGTGGCAAGTGTCAGGTAAACCATGTGCACATGCTTTGGCACTCCTTGTAGAAATGCTAAGATAGAAGACTACTTGGATCCTTATTATTTAGTGTACCATTTTAGACTAGCCTATGGTGGTGTGATCAAACCACTGCCTGATAAATCTCAGTGGGTGCGTGTGGAACTTGGATTCAAAGTGATGCCACCACTAGATAAGAGAGATGTTGGAAGACAATGGAAAAATAGAAAACCTAGCAGCCTAGAGAACAAGGGAAGCAAGGGAAGCAAGCCTAGGGACAAAGGCATGTGGAAGGTTAAGTGTCAAAATTGCTTGGGTCTTGGCCATAGGACTAACTCTCCAAAGTGCCCTCTTAATGGAACAAAGAAGAGGTAAATGCGTATGCCTTTTTGAAATAATGCATACTTGCTTAATATTTTGTATTCATCTCAATTTTTCTTATACAGGAAAAGTCGAGCCAAGAAAGGAAAGGCAGGGAGACCTGCTGGTTGTAGCAAAGGTGATGCAACTCCTAGTCCATCCAAAAGAGCAGAAGGTTGTAGTGGCAGAAGGCATAAGTGAAATCAACACTAGTCCTGAACCTGTTACAAGGAGGCAAAGGTGATTCCTGAAAACTAAAATCAACACTAGTCTCTTTTAACCTATTGCAATTAACCTTTCTTTTTTTTTAGCCAATCGCAACTAACAATGGGGGAATTTGGAGGGACAAATCAAATCACTACAAGCCCCAGAGTAGTTACAATAAGGTAAAAATCATTCATTGTGTGTGACATGTGTGCATCTTATCTCATGTACTGAACCATTCCATTGACCTATGATATGTAGTGAAACTGAAGAAAGACCAAGTAATACAATGACCACTCCAAGGAAGAGTCCAAGGAAGAGGCTAGGTCTCAAGAAAAAACTCACTCCAAGGAAGTGGAACAACATGGATGCTTGAATAATCTTCCTTTAATGTCATGAGACTTTTGTCTGTTAAGATTCCTGGCCATCTTTTATACATCGTGAACTTGTGGTCCTAAATTGGCTGGATGACTCTCTTTTGTATGGCTATTTTTATGTGAACTATGTGAACTTGTAGTCATATCAGATTGGCTAGATGGCTGAGTTGTTGACGTGAACCTATTTATTAAATTGTATGTGAACGTGTACTAATATTAAATCTATGCTAGAATTGTGCAGTTAATTTTATTATTTATGGTGAAATTGTATGGCTGTTTTTATCGTGTAAAACATGTTATTTACATTTATTTTGAACATATATATTTGATCTGTGCAAAATATTAGTCTTTAGGAGCATGGGACGGAGCTGGGAAGAAAAATGAATAGGCTAGGAAGGAGATTACACCAGACGCATTTGAGTGGCTAGGCATGTGTCTCTGGAACGAGGGAGGGGCAATAACGTCTTTTCCCATGCCCTAAACAGTGAAGAGAGCCCCTGGATTTACAGAAATGGAGAAAATCGAAAAGACTAAATTTCAAAACAATTCACAAGACATGGGTCATATTTTTAAAGACATGTGAATTGAAGGTTATATTATGAGAAGCGCGCGAATAACTGGTTAGATATCTAAATTTCTCTGTTGGCGGGAAGGCAAAGATGGGTCTACGCGTAGGTGCTGCGCTATCTTGTGGTTGTGGGCCTAAATTGAGGGATTTTTTTGCGTTTATTATTTTCCTATAAGAAAAGATGTAAATGTAGCGTGACTTGGTTACATCAGGAAACAAATCCTGTAATGGCTTCGACCATGGTGCTCCCCGACGTATATTATGCCATGGCCCATGGCTAGCTTTTCACCAACATCAGCTCTTTTGTCCACTTTGAAGATAAGCTATTAGTTGGTTTTCTAAGATTTTGGTGATTGGCCTCCCACTGTGTTCTTTTGATGTTTCTTTTTGGCAGAAGATTAGGAACAAGAAAACGGCCTCAACAAAGGGAAATAGCAGCCATGGACCCACGCTTGAGAGGTACAATCTGGGACAGCATGATGCCTTTTGGCCTCTCTACATGTATATTTGTCATGTTTTTCAGCATTACTTCAGTAGTATTTTTCAACGGATAAATAGTATTTTTCTTTCACAACAAATCAGCATAAGCATCAACATATTTCTCTATATTTGGTTCATATAGTATATTTTAAATTTGGTTCAGTCGGCCTCGGATCTACTCATCTTCATTACTTTTATTTCTGGAACTTGGTTCATGGCATTGATTAAGATGTTATTTGTTTTCTATTCTCATCTCTGATAAGCCATAATGAAGATGCACATTAGGTCCTTTGTACACGCCATTCCTGCGTCCTGCCATGTATCTTCATATATAGGCATATAATACCGTCAATAGAGATGTAATTCGTCTCCTTTTGGATTTTGGTATTGTAACATGGCTTTAGCCATCATTCAAGAATAAATCATAAACAATATTTAAATCTTTTTCCATGTTACTATCATCTTTATCTTACGATTTGTAGCAACGCGTGGAGACTTCATCTAGTTGCTATATATACTGTTGACAAATTGATATGTCTCGTATCTATTAGATTTCTCAACCACGTTGATTTTATATCTAATGGTGGAGAAATCTATCAGACGTATAAATCTGTTGATAGATTTAGAGCAACTCCGCTGTTTTATTTATTGAATACTGAAACGTTTACGGAAGAAGGTATGGCGAGAGCGTAGCTGCATCCAGACTCTCACGAGAACAAAACATCCATGTTCCATCCACGCGAAAATAAAAAAACAAATCTTCAAAATGTTCCTGTTCAGAAAAAAAATCCGGATGGTTTTGTGTTACTTTTAGGATTTGGGCTAAAGCAACAGCAGTACATGTATGCATTGCAAATCCAGCTCTCGTAGTCTCGCTGCATCGCTGGCCCCACCTCTGGCTGGTTGAACCGGACCAGTTGGCTCCTCACCTCTCGTGCTCATCCGTCCCTCACATCACAGTCACACAATCTCGCTTCGCTTCTTTTCCCCAGAGAAGACGAAACCCTCGATCCCCACCGGCCGCCGGACGCCGGAGTCCGATTCCTTCTCATCAGCATGGCGGCGGCGCCCGCTCTGTTGGACGAGCTCATCGAGGAGTTCCTCCTCCGCCTCCCGCCGGCTGAGCCTGAGATCCTCGTCCACGCCGCCCTCGTCTGCAAGCCCTGGTACTGCATCATCTCCGATCCCCGCTTCCGCCGCCGATTCCGGGAATTCCACCGCGCGGCACCGATGCTCGGATTCTTCTGCAACCTCTTGGATGCCCAATTCATCCCCACCTCCTCTTTCCGCCCTCCCCACGCCGGCAATTTCCGCGCTTTGGATGCCCGCCACGGCCGCGTCCTCCTTACCTCGTGGGACGACATGGACGAACGCTTCGTCGTCGTCTGGGACCCAACCACGGATGAAAGGTGGGAGGTGCCAGTACCACCCCCGGACGTCTGGGATCTACACGAAGAATCGTACGCGACGGTGCTCTGTGCAGCCGCAGCAAGCGGCACCTGCGAGTCTGCGACCACCACGACTGCCACGGCAAACCCTTCACCCTTGTCTTCGCGGGCCCTGGCACTGAGCCCGAGCACGAGCACACGTCCTTCTTGCATGTCTACTCATCAGAGGCCGCCTCCTGGAGCGAGCCGATTCCGGTCCCAAGGTGCTGTGTCGATGAGGTGCTCACTGCAATTGTTGGAAGCACACTCTACTTCTCGATTTACTGCGGCAGTCGAACTCTCAGTTATATAATCTGGCTACACGGCAAACTTCTGTGATTCACCTGCCTCCTATGCCTGATGAGTGTGCTACTGCGCTCATGGGGATGGAGAATGGTGGGCTTGGAGTCGCAAGATTGGACAAGGCTGCCAAACTCTCGGTCTGGTCAATGGAGGTGAATCCTAACGGAGACATAGGATGGACACAAATCAAAGTCGTTGAGCTTGACAAGTTGCTTCCTGTCAACGCTTGCTCCATATCTTCTGAATTTCTCTGCTATGCGCAAGGTGTTGGAGTATTTTTCGTTGGGACCTATGATGGGTTATTTAGTTTTGATTTAATGTCTGGCAAGGTGAGGAAGGTGTTTGAGGAGCCAGATCAACAGCCTGTTGATCATCGTGGATTATTTCTTTGCTGGCTGGTTTGGCGTCCTCGCTGAAATTGGCGCCCTTTGCTTTTCCTTGTGTTGTTCCCTATGTGAGTTTCTACACTCCAGGTACTTCTTCGTGTTTGGTTTATATCGTTTGCCATTTTTTGAACTTTGATTTTTCAGTTGTTCACATGAAACCATATATGGACAAATAACATAATATTTATTCATCTGTTCTTCCTACCTACACCTCCTATTTTGGTCAGATAGATGTATAACTCTGGTACGCCTACCTACACATTCCGTTTTGGTTGCGGATCATCCTTGACACATGTCTTTAATTTATCCATATGGTACATATCTTATGATAAACATATCGGGGGAGTATTGACAAGTTTAGGTACAAAATACACATTAAAGTGAAGTCATTACTCTAACCTCCAGATGCCTGACTTGTGTCTGTGTTTAATGCTGCACATTTCTTTTGCTCAGATCAGTCATCAGATAAATATCACTTTAATAATATAAAACACAGAGTGATGATATGTTTGTTAAACAAAGGTAGGTTTTCATCAGGAGGTTTGAGTTGATCTTATCTTAATGATTTGTGCAAGTATTTGCTGTTAACTAGTTGAGCAGTGTTGTGCAGTGGTTAGTAAGCTTGTGGTGCATGGTTAGCAGCTTGTTGGAACATATGCTTGGTTGATGAGAAAAATTTTCACTGGTGGCATATCAATTCCTCAATCAGCATTTGTCATTTTTTTCCATGTTTCTTTGGTGCAGCACTAGGATCGACCACTAAAGATGAGGAACCTGGATGCTACAACTGTATGAAATAAAAAATTCTAGCTGCTGGAGTAAGGACTTCAAATACAAGAAGGAAGTGTGCTACTGGTGTGGGATAGCAGTAGTACTGGTGTTAAGTTTTAGTGACTAGTACTGGTTGCCTGCTGCCTATTTGCCATTTGTGTGACTGTACCTGGAACTTGTTTTTTATATTGACACAGTGCTACAAAATTGATTCTTAGAGGCACCATATAAGAGTGTTATGTCTGAAAATCACTAGAAAATCCAACAACTAATAATTGTCTCTACAAATCAATTTTCAAAGATGATGAGCTGAAGAAACTCATCTCTATAAATCAAGTCATTTTTAGAGTAGAGCTAGGATTTGGCCGTGCCATTCGAGGGCGGGTCGTAACACAACTCAAAGCACGGCACGGTGCGAATGCAAGGGATGTGTCGCGCCTAGGATCTCAGCATGATAGATTGTACAGCCTGGTCCGCATTTTGCGCCGTGCTTGTGTCAGCACGACACAAAAATAGCACATAAACAAGCATACAATGCTACAATGCAATTTTCTAATATTTACTATACTACCTCACATCTAATCCTTGAATAGATTATAAAAATCATTAAATTTTCATAAAAATTGTCACGACCTAGTGGTTGTTTCAACTTAAACTTTTCAAAAACGCCCTTGGAAGGTTGGAACCCTAACCTATATCTCCCTTGGACTCAAAGCTGAACTCCTACACACCGTAAGCATATGGATCGCGAGTCTCTGTTAACCCTAGCACAAGACCTTTATCTTTTGGACCTCTTCCTACAATGGACAACCTCGCCAACCCATTGGAAGCCTTCCTATCTCAACTCTCGATGGACAAGGACCCCAAATCTAGCTAATAGACTTCACAACACCTCCTAGTCAACCCGATCATTTGACCTAGCTAAATCTCGACGTTATCACCCGAGGAGTGATATTTGAGCCTCAAGTGATTGCTACAACCTTTATGAGTTGTATTAGAATCCTAATTTCAATCCCTTTATCTTAAAATCCAAAATTCTCAAAATTCATGTCCTACCGGACTGTCCAGCGTTCTGATGGACTTTTCACCAGAACACTTATGCAATAGAGTTAATCTAGCTAAGTTGTCCTCTCTCCCTACCTCTTGGACCCACCTGTCAGCACGAGGTGGAGACTTCAAGGCACCTGCATCAGATCACTCTCCATTCATCTCATCACTCTCATCGCCCTCACTCTCTCTTCAAGGTGGAGGAAACAAGGACTAGAGAGAGAGAGAAAGGAAAGAAAAATAAGAAGAGATCCAAGTCAAGGCCAAGAATCACCGGCTCAAGGAGAAGATGAAGATCATCATCTCTATCTCCATCCTTTGAGTGAGCTTAAGAAACATCCCCTTTTCTTCTCAAATGCAAATCCCAACCCAAAGTCTTGATTTTATCTTGCATGAGATGAAGATGAAGATGCTAGCAACTCAATCCATCTCAAGTGTAAGCCCTACTCCTATCACACTAAATCATCTCATGGATTTCTCAAATCTCCCTAAATGGAAGTGTATGTTCTATGCAATGAAATCTCAACAATTCCTTAATCCATCTCTCTCACTTGGAAGCGAGAAGGAGCAAGGCACAAGCATGAGCTTGGTGACCCAAGGGTCACCAATCCACCAAAATTAAGTTACCAAAGTTCAATTACATGAATTATCTCTCTTTATTGAAGTTTTGTTCAAATCTTAACCACTAGTTTCACCCTCCATATTGTAACACCCTAAAATTTGACCTAGATTTAGAAATCACTAAAAATTTGAACTTTTTAAAAATGTGCATAGGAGATAACATATATAGCTAACCTAGATAATTTTTACAAATAAAATAACATAGGAACATAAAAATATATGTGTGAAACTTCGTGTGTGAATGATTGCTTGACTTGTTGAACTTATGGTGGCACCTTTTTACACACTCATGCATTCAAATTTAAATTTGAAATCATTTAAACATATGCATAGTTGAGTTAGGAAATAGAAAAGGGAATTAGAAATTGGAAAAAGCCTCATGGGGCCATCTCTCTCCTCTCGGCCCACCGCAGCAGCCCAGCCCATCCCCTCCTCCCTCCCTTCCTCTAGCGCGAGCCGACCCAGCAGCGCCGTGGCCTAGCTCGGCCTGGCCTCACCCGCTCCCCCTTCTCCTCCCTCTCTCCCACTGATGGCCGGGCCCCACCCGTTAGCTCCGTCGCCTACCTCGCGGCAGGCAACCGTACGCGGCATAGCACCGGCGTCAACGCCTCGCTAGCGCCACCCCGGTGCCAGCGGAGCGTTAACGGCGACAGTGAGACCCCACGGCGCCCCTATTTTCTCCTCTTCTCCCTCTTCCCCCTCACTATGAACATGTCAACGATCGGCGCCATGGTCGTCGCCGTGCCAAGCCGCTAGAGTAGCCACCAAGGCACTCCAGCATGCGCCAGCCATCACGATGTGACCAGATGAGGTCAGCGGTGCGCCCGCATGCTGGATAAGGATGGCCACGAGAAATATGTCGCCGTCGGGACACCGGCTAGCCGGCCTATAAATAGGTCTGGCCGGCGACGCTCTCGCCTCGCCCTCTCCACCACCAGCTCTGTTGAGGGTGGGAACACCTCATCTCCCCCTCCTCTTCCTTTCCCCTCCCTTCCCCTTTCCTTCCACTTTTCCCCAATTCAGGAGTCCACCGGTGCCATCAGCGCCGGCCCCTCTCTTCTCCTTCTCCGCTGTGTCTCTGGCCGATTAGAGCGACCGGTGAGTCCCCAAGCTTCTCCTTTTTTTTTTCTGTATATCGTTGGTAGCCTAGGTCTCTATAGTGCGCTGCCCACGTGAGCCCCGCTCCATCGAGCCACCATGGCCATTGGTCATCACCAGCGAGGCCACCCTAGGGAACATCACCATCCCCACTGCACTTCTTGTTCACCCGCACACACGTACACGTAGTTAGCTGAGTAGTATAGGGCCTCTAGGGCCAAGTCTAGTGCACAGCACCGTCACTACCACTCCGGCGAGCTGCCACAGCCACCATGGGCACTCGTTGCCAACGGCGACCCTGCCACCAGCTGTGGCGTGACCCCATGGACCCTGTCCACCTTTCATCCACCAACTCTGAGGGCCGATGCCACCGGCGTAAGCCGTTCAGGTGAGCCTAGCTCCCCCTCCCCTATTCTGTCACCGGCGCGGCCACCTCTATCCGCCGCCGTTCCCCCTCCTCCCCCTTCTCTGTCTCCGCTAGGTGGGACTGGGAGGAAACGGCGTTGCCGTCCCCCTCCATCCCCGTCAGTCCCTCCCTCTCTCCCCCTCCTTCACTAACACATGGGCCCACGGCTTTAACGCCACCGTCATCACTACTGACTCAAGCAGGTGGCCCACCTATCACACACACAGCACGAGGTACACTTTAGAAAATGCCGGGTACACCCGGCTAGTGTACACAGAGTTAGAAATGCATTTTCCTAGCTTAGAAAAATTCCCAAAAAATTTGTAAATAAACTAGACGCATTAAGGAAATTAACCATGTAGTTTGCACCTATTTTTATGCACTAGAAAATGCATATAAAATCCCCCCTAGTTAATTAGCTATAGAATAAACTTCTAAAATACATAACTTTTAAACCCTAACTCCTTTTTGCATGAAACCACTTCTAAAATTCATCTAAAATCAAACCCTACCATTTGCACCTAGTGCCACCATATAGTTCTATGTTTGCTTTTGCCTTTTCTTTCGCATATAGCGGTAGTCTTATTCGACCAATACGTCCGACCGACAACGGTAATCGTCAAGAGGACGAAGACCCGGATTTTGTAGATGTGCCGGAAGGTGGCAACGATGAAGGCAAGTCCTATCTACCCTCCCTACCATCTTGCTTTAAACCACTAAAATGTTAAAACATGACTATGAGATTATTACCCTAGAGAATGAGCTCGGTTAATGTGATATGATTAAGATAAATGGTTATCTTGTTATTTTATGAGCTCCACACCATGACTAGATTTAGGGATAATAATGGAACCTAAAACTTGTTAAACCTAAAACTAAACCCCGACATGGGGCGAATAGTGGTAA